GCACAAGCATCGACGTGGACATCCTCAGGGAGCTCGACACACAACTCCAAGAACGAGACGAGGAAGACGCACGACTGCAAGCCCAAGCAGACGCTGAACAAGCACAAGTCGACAAACAGATACAAGCGGCACTCGACCTGCTGACACCACCCCCTACCTCCGACGACTCGGGCTATCAACTCTACTTCAGAAACCGAGGCAGCAGTAGTGGTGGACAGCCCAGCGGCAGCGGACAGCGCAACAGCACACCACCACCACGACCAGCACCTGTGACGCCAAACGCCACTCCTGTTGCGCGACGCCCATGCCACGACGCCGACGACGCCAGCGTGCACACTCCAATTCCAGCTGACGACGACGACCTTTGCAGCCCAACCCCCGTTGCGAGCGATGCATATCCCTTCCCTGTCCCCACGCCTTTACCGACCCCCGCCTCGCACACGCCGATCCCCACCGAGCAGCCTACGCCCATCGACTTCCACCCACCCGACCCGCAGAATGACCGACCCAGCTCGGCGCCACCACCACGCACCAGAAGGACAGACTCAACTCAACACAACCACCCATCCACTACTCTTCTCATCGACATCACCTCCGACGACGACGCACCGCCACCTTCCACCCCAGTGCGCATTCCACTAGCCGACATATCCCCTACCGCACCGATGCAGCCAATCCAACCACCACCCCGCTTCCACCTCGCCACGCCAGACCGCGCCACCTCCGCTCCACCGCCCCGCACCGCCCTCCGAAAAAACGGATCATCTAGACGAGCGACCAAGCCAAAGAAAGTCCGTATCTGCGACATCGGAGACGGCTTCGCAGACCCAGGAGACCGAGTGCCAACCTTCCTCAACGACGAGGAAGTCCCTGCAGTCAACTCGCCAAAAAACTAACGAGGCCCTCACCCCCTGGGGGGCAACTGGCCCAGGGGGAGCGGCCCAGCATTACACCAGAAGACTGCCAGCGCAACGACGGCACTTCCGACTCCTGCAGTGGTTATGCCGACGACATCAAGCGCCGATTATTTGAGCCCCTGGTGAGCTACGATTCACCACGCGACACTTCACAAGTTTCACCTACCCTCTCAACAGCCAACAGAGGCATGCGCGATGGGGAGAGCGCACCTCCAGACCTGTACGAGCACGGCGACATGTGGGAAATCCACACACCGCCCAACATACCACAGCCTAGTAGTGGACCGTGGACCATCCCCTCGGCCTCTACCTCTCGCTTGGGGAGCGCGAGAAGGCTGTCTCACACAGACCCCATACTAGAACCACATACACTAGCGGACCGACCAACTACTGCCACCCGACCCCGACGGCAGCATGTCGACTCACATCCTCCACCAGCGGAAGCCCAGTCACGGTCGATCCCGACGATGACGACGCCACCGCCTACGCCTCGAGAGGAAGAATCGCTTTGTGAGTACGACACAGGGGGGGGGCAAGAACGACCAGAGCCACCAACAAGGCATCGACGCACTAGCCATTTTGGCCAAGATGGCGATCGAGACCGACAATTTTGTGACCTACTGAGCCGGCCATGTACATCAATTCCCTGCCGGCCACAACCTCCCATTTTTGACTCCCCTGAAGTTACCCAGATGCCACACGGACAGACCAACCTGCCGAATGCGGAGAGCCACGAGGCAGCACGGCATGTCCGCTTCTCCCGCGAGGTCCACACCCGCGACCAGGAGACCGACAATATCCTCTACCACATCGACTTCGACGAGCAGGAGCCCTTACTCCAGCACCTTCGACGACTTCAGGCTCCCAGGCTTACCTTCGAATTTACCGAACGATGCCACAACGAAGTTTCAGATTACATGATGCGAACATTCCCATACCGACAGCTCCTACGAGATTCTCGCCTGCACTTATACACCGACGGCTCCAAACACCCACGCCAACATGGTCAAGACGGATGGTCAGTGGTACTCGTCGGTGAAGACGAAGAAGGTTTCTCTTTTCAAGGCGCAATAGTCGGCAAGCACCGCGACTCCACCCTCGTGGAGATCCAAAACCTCACGGACAACGAGACCACCTCGACATCCAGCGAGATCACAGCGCTCATCTGGGCGCTCGCCTACATCATCCACAAGGACATCAACCACAGGATATCGGTCCACTCCGACTCGCTGGGAGCGATCCAACTGGCCAGGATGGAGGCTTTTACTAACCGAGACGCCCACCTCGTGCAGCTACTGGTGATCATGTACTCGCACGTCAAGGAATATGTCGACCTGCGTCACGTTCACGCCCACGAGATGAACCCCTGGAACGAAGTTGCCGACGCCGCAGCCAACTACGCCCGCATCGAGGACTACCCGCACCCACAACCTGAATGGGCTAACATACTCAACGCGTCCCCTCAGCGCTGCTGGGAATTCCTACTTGACGCCGACAACCACACCAAGGACGCTTACCCATCCTTTTCACCTGGGATGCTCAAGGCCCAACGCGTCGATACTACGGCAACGACAGCCCACCTCTCGACACCAACCAAGTCCACGAAGACCTCGACAGAGATAGATGTCAACATCGCCACCTACAACATCCAGTCAGGGCGCGAACCTGGCCACGGCGCTCGACGACGCAAAGAAAAGATACACAAGCTCAGAAAGACAATGCTCAACCTGTACATGGAGGACCTCCACCTGATTGGCATCCAGGAAGCCCGCACGCCCTGGGGAGTTCGCAGCGGCAACGACATCACCAGCACGAGTGCGTACGCCTACCACGTCATCTCAGGGGGGCACGATCAGTACAACCTCGGCTGCGAGCTCCACATACTCACCAGCAAGCCGTACGGAAAGGCAGGAGCCAAGGACCTCTACTTCCGCCCCGATCAGTTCACCGTCATCGAGCACAGCCCTCGGCATCTCGTAGTAAGGATCGAAGCCCCAGGATTTCGACATACAGTCTGCGTCGCCCATGCACCACATTCTCGAGCTAAACCACACGAGAAGGATACCTTCTGGGAGATGATCGAGTGCGCAACGTCTAACCACAATATCAACATCTTCCTCATCGATGCCAACGCTCGAACAGGCAGCTTATGCAGCCAGGCAATCGGCGATCAAGGCTTCAAGCAAAAGGAGGACGACAACGGCGAACGCTTCCACAAGGTCCTGCAAGGCAACTCTCTCATAGCCGCGAACACCTTCAAAAGCGGAGGCCAGGACCACTACACATGGGACTCAGGCAAGGACGTACATAGACTGGACTACATAGTGGTTGGCCACGAGCTTTTCGACTCCATATCCCACACGTCCGTAATGTACGGTATCGACACAGAACACGACCACTCACAAAAGAACGACCACTTCCCCGTCAAGGCTAACCTCGCCTACACCGTCGAGACCGCCTACCAGCACGGCACGCCCAAGCTCGACACCGCTAAGCTCGACTCCGAGACAGCCAAGAACGACTTTCAACGACGCCTGCAGCAGATCCAACACCCCCCCTGGGAGACCAACCTCAACGACCATACCAAGAGCATCGTCGATCAGATAAAGGACGCAGCATACGCCAGCTTCAAGAAGCAGCACCATGCCCCCCGCAAGCCCTACATTACCGAGGCCTCCTACGCTCTTCTTAGATTCCGACGCACCCTCATTAAGACGATCCGCATCGTGAAAAGGAATGGAATTGGCTCCAAGAAGTCACGCAGACGGATCCGATACACCGCGCACCTCATTGCAAACCAGTCAGCATCAGCGTCCCCTGACGACGTCATCCACCTCATGGACATCCCTGGATACACTCAGCTGATGATCAAGACCATCCTCTTCATCAACCATACGGACCCCGACCATACCACGGCTCCTTACCACGACGGTACCTACGGCACGACCACTTTCACTACGAACCTTTTCGACTCATACTTGAGCTTCATCCAAGACACCGACCGCGTTCTCAGAATCCGCCTCGACCATGACCGCGACGCCCACCTTGAGAGCTTCTCCGACAATATGATATTATCAGCCGCAGGGAATGCCCCGCGGAAGGAATGGGCAAACGTGAGGGCCTTACTCACATACGGCGGCCGAACGCCTAAGAGAACTCCGACTCCCAAAATACGCCAAGACGATAACGGAGCTCCACTCACGACGCCACAAGCCATTGCGGAGCACGCCCTTCGATACTACGGCAACATCGAGAATGGCATCAACACCGACATCGAAGGCGTCGTCAAGCACTACAACAACAAGACTGCACACACCAAGCCGATACCCCACATCAACAACGTCCAGACCATCCACAACCTGACAGCCGCCCTGGCAGCCTCCAAGAAAGGCAAACGCGGCGGGCCTGACGGGAACACCGACGACATGGCACGAGCGGCGCCGCGCCAGATTGCCCGACTTCTGCACCCCATCATGATGAAGATGCAGCTGATGACGACGGAGCCCATTTCGGCGAAGGGCGGATTCTCCACCCATTTCTCCAAAGGACAAGGACAGCTTCATCTGCAGAAAGCCTACAGGGGCATCCTACTGAACAACACTATTGGCAAGATCAACAGCAAGTTCCTGAGAGGCCTCTTCCGCGACATCTTACCCGACCTGCTCATGGACACACAATGCGGCGCCGTCCCTCACAAGGCGACTGACTTCATCACCCACACCGCCTATACCTTCTTGGACGACTGCCGTGCACAGGCTCGCACGGGCAGCATACTCTTCCTGGACTTGAGAGAAGCATTTCATTCGGTAATAAGGGAGTTCATTTTCCAGCTGCCGACTCAGGAGGACGAGCTCGAAGATGTCATCGACAACATCGAGATTCCCATATGCCTCCTCCCCTCCCTACGACAACGGCTTCGCTGTCCAGCACATCTCAACGCCCACGTCGACGACTCCCACCTCTGCGCCCTCGTGGCCGACCACCACACGGCCAACTGGATGACCGCCAAGGGCACCGACGCATACGTGATCCCACGCGCCAGTACCAGGCCAGGGGTGCCATACTCCGACGCCGTCCTTCAACATGCATTTCTCCCTAGTGCTTCAGGCCATCGCCGACGACGCTGAAGGGGCAGAAGATGGTGAGAGTGGCCACCACATCCGCCCCTGCGACAACCCGCTCTTCTCTACGGCCCCGCATCAAGGCGGCAAGCTGACTAACATGTCCTTCGTCGACGACCTCACCGACTTCAACTCGACCACCAGCCACTCCGACATCATTGACATTACGAAAACTTCAGCCGAACGTCTATGCCGTACCGCCTTCACCTATGGGCTCAAGCCGCACCCAGACAAGACCAAGGTTATCATCTCCTTTAACGGGACGGGCTCCAACGTCGCACGCAGCAGGCTTGCACAGCAAAACATTACGTCAATCCAGCTGAGCATCATGTCGATCTCGGTCCAGATCACAGACCAGCACCGACTCTTAGGCACTATCCTAACCAACGGCAGCATGGGACCCGAGGTACAGAATCGCATGCGACGAACCGAAGCTTCGGCACGAGCTCTTGAGAGGCAAATCCTAAGACGACGACGCCTACCCCGCAAAACGAAGATCAAGTACGTGCACGCCCTCTCGACCGCCTCATTGACCTTCAACCATCACGTCTGGCCAACACTGACCCAGACCGACCACCAGCGCATCTCCAACGCCTACTCGAAGCCCTACCGCACGGCAGCTGGACTACCCAAGACGAACTCGCAGCTTCATCATTTCACGGCCACCGAAGTAGTTGCTTACACAGGCATCCCCGACTTCGACCACCACCAGTCTGCTGGAAGGTTGCGATATTTACCACGGCTTCTACGACACGCTCCTCAGCAGCTCCTCCAACTGCTTGACAACCAGCGACGGAGGAAGGGCTCATGGACATACATGCTTTTCCAGGACTTCGATTTCCTGCGCACATACCTGGACGACCAGCGCTGGCCCACGACAAGCAAGCTCGACCCCGACGTTTTTGCATGGGCTCGCACCACGCCGAAGCACTTCACCAACTCCGTCAACCTGGCCGTCACAAACTACATCCGCGCCTTTAAAGACCACGCCCACGCCGACAAGCTCACCAAGGTGCTCAGACCCGACGGCCCCACGGGTGCGGACACTACGCCATCACGCGACAACGGCGCCTACAACTTCATCTGCTACGAGTGCGGAATCGTAACCAAGACAAAGCAGGGCATGGCAATACATATCGGACGTGAACACCGACGACCTGAGCACCCGCGAAACTGGGCATCGGGTACGTCGTGCAGAATATGCCGCCAGAACTTCCACTCCTTCGCCAAGCTAGTGAAGCATCTAACCACGGTCGCCCGCTGCCGAAGGTCATGGCACATGTGGTACTTACAGGGACCTGCCCTCACGGAGGAGGACGTGGCCAACAACCAGTCGATCTACGCGACCAGCATAGCCGACAACAAACGCAGAGGACGCCCCGAACTATACCACCATATCCCTACCCATGCATCCGACGTCACTCCCTTACCATCACTCGACCTATCACCTTCACCACCGCCATTCTTCCCGACAGTACCTGAGCTCACACCACCACCACCAGCCCACCACCCTCGAACACCGACCAGAAACAGATCTCTTCTTTACCTCACCAACACCGAGAGACACCCGAACGATCTGTTGGACATCACGGACCAACGACTATGCTACAAGGGAATGGTGATGGAACGAGTTATCATGACCTTCGACGACCTCTACTCTGTCGACCACCCATCACAGTACGACGCCCTCGACTCGATCCACCAACACATTCGACAAGGCGACTTCGCGGGAGTGATGATCAGCCTCTCATCCAGGACGTGGACAGACCAAGGCGAGGGCGACCAGCATGACAGAAAAGCAGCATCTTCAAGAACAACCACAGAACCCTGGGGCAGAGTAAGCCTTGGAGGCGAGGCAGCCGAACGACGACTGGTCGCGAACCACCATGCCCGCCTCGCCATCCACACATTCCACGTCGCCCACGTCGCCGAAGTACCAGCACTACTAGCACAATCTGCAGCCCCAGCAGGGACAACGACGATCTGGAACACTGAGATGATGTTCTACGCAGTGGAGAATCTCGCTACGAAGAGACCGACCATGGTAGACGTCACCAGCAGCATCTATGCAGTATATTACGGCTCCTCCGACGAGCACGACAATCCAATCGACAATTTTGTCGCATCCATCGCGGGCAGCCCGAGCTGATCAGAGTTGGCCGTAACATGGCCCATGAAGATCAACAAGAGCGCGCACCACGGCAAGACCGCCGTAGCGCTCACGGAGACCGCCAACAACATCAGGGACGCCCCCTCTAGGGAGAGGGGGGGGAGGACACGGTCCAGGTCTGACCTGGGCCGCCACCCGCGGGCAGGCCGTCATGGGGGTAGCTCTCTTCCCCTCAGGCCTTCAATGAGCCCCCTCCCCTCTCTCCACTTTGCCACCCCCATGTGGCCTCTCCCTCCCCCTCCTTAGCGGAACTTTTGACCCCCCCTCCCCGGACAGCGTTTGCCTTCTGGGGTCTGTTGTGGGGCGTAAGCATGCCTTGTATTTGTGTCGTCCTTTTTTCCCCCGCCCCTTCCCTGGCGGAGCCTTGACGGCTCCTTCCCTGGGCCTTCCTGGCGGGGGTCGTGTAGGGGGGGTGTTCCCCTCCAGCGCGCCTTCGGCGCACGCGCGGGCACGCCCGCGCGGACGGCTGCGTCCCGCGAGGACATGGAGCCGCGAGCGAAGCGAAGCGAAGCGAAGGACTGGCGCGCGACTGCCTGGCGCGCGACTGCCCGCACGGCCGCCCCCCGGTTATCCGCTGTGGCGTCGCCCGCCTGCGCGAGGGCAGCCGCAAAGCGGCCGTTCCGCGGCTCCAGCATGCCCGCCTGTGGCGGGGGTCGTGCAGTCCAAAGCGAACGCGGCGGACCACCAGGAATGAGAACGTACCTCCTCCTCCTCCTCCTCCTCCTCCTCCTCCTCCTCCTCCTCCTCCTCCTCTTCCCTCCTCCTCCTCCTCCTCCTCCTCCTCCTCCCCTTCCTCCTCCTCCTCGTTCTCCTCCTCCTCCTCCTCCTGTGTAGGGGTCCGGACCCTGCATCGAGGCGAGGTTCCCAGAGGCGGGAAACTGGGACACACAAACAAATACACACAAATAAAAAGATTCCCCATATTTTCCTATATTTTCTGGGTTTTTGTCTTCCCCACCACTTCCCGTATTTTCCCATATTTTCTGGGAAATCGACGATTAATTGTGTCTGTGTGTTTTTTTCCCTCCTGAACTTAGTCCCTCGCATCGCTTTGCTTTGCTGGGACCGCCCGAAGAAGAAACTCAGTAGACCCCCCCAAGCACAGAAAGCCACTAAACAAAGGTGGCCCGTCGCACTGATGGGCTGGGCTCGCCAGTGAAGAAAGTGACTGGGAATTTCTAGCCCTCACCCAAATGACATTTTACCAGCGTGGGCCTTGAGTAGTGAGATGTTGCCCTGTGGATGCGAAAGCTATGTGCTGTGAACTATGTGGAATGATTAATTTCTGTTCGCAATGAGTTGTCCACTCCACTGCTCGCGCAAACATCCCACCCACCCACCCGCAACTTGGTTTGCAAAATCTCTTAAGACCGTGACGGTGGGTACCACATGGCACTTGGCAACAACAGCGACGCCGACGACGACAGCGACAACGACGATGACGACGCCGCCGACAACGACTACGACGGCACCGACGACGTCTCCAACGACTTCGACGACGCCGACAACGACGACGACGACGACGGCGACACCGACGACGACGACGACGACACCGACGCCGACGACGACGACGATGACAACGACGACGACGATGACGACGCCGATAACAACGATATCGACGACACCGACGACGACGACGTCAACGACGCCGACGACGACGACGACGACGACGGCGGCGACGACGACGACGCCGACGTCGACGACGACGAAGTCGACAACGACGCCGACGCCGACGACGACGACGAAGACGACGACGACGTCGCCAACGAAGACAACGAGGAAGGAGGGAGGACGACGACGACGACGACGACGACAACGACGAGGGAGGAGGGAGGACGGCGACGACGCGAACGACGAAGAAGGAGGAAGGACGGCGACGCCGACGACGACAACGACGAGGGAGGAGGGAAAACGACGACGACGACAACGACGACGACGACGACGACGACGGCGACGAAAGAGGAGGGACGACGACGAGACGCCGACGACGACGACGACGACGACGAGGGAGGAGGAGGAAGGACGACCACGGCGACAACGACGACGGAAACGACCACGACGCCAAAGAGGACGACGACGACGAACACGAGGAAAGACAGAGGACGACGTAGGCGACGACGGCGACAACGACGCGGGAGGAGGGAGGACGGCGACGACGACGACGACGAACGACGACGCAAGAGCGCGCGCGCACGCTTTTGTTGAAAATCCGTGTTGCGAAACCTTATGTTTTTGTAGGTTTTTTGGACAACCCGATTTTGAAATCCTTCCGAAACCGCTGGGTTTTGAAGGTTTTCGGCATACGCGCGCGACGGCACACGCGCAAGTGCGTTCGACAGATTTCGACATGAGCGCGCGCGAAGCCCGTTTGGTAGCATTTTGTGAAAATCTTGAAAAACTTATGGTTTTCCTGAGATTTCGCAAGAGCTCGCGCGGAAGTTTTTTTAGCAACTCTGTGTTGCGAAACCCTGTGTTTTTGTATTTTTTGTTTTGGGGAATCTCGATTGCGAACTCCTTCCCGCACCGAAAGTTTTTGAAGGATTTCGGCATGCGCGCGCGACGACGCGCGCGTGTGCACTTCGTCTCTTTTTTTGCAAGGGATTCGCGAAAAAGTGCTATGCTAGAAGAGAAAATGTCACCGCATTGTGTTTTTTTTACCAGGGAACCTCAGGGGGGGAAACCGGCCTAGCTGGGATGGTATGATTTCATATTTCGGATGGGCGAGTGTGCAGAATAAATGATCCAGGGTCGAGGGCCCACGGGCCCCCCCCCCCAGATGGTATGGTCTCAGGATTCCTCGGGCCCCCCCCCCCCAGATGGTATGGTCCCAGAGACGACGACGACGACGACGACGACGACGACGACGACGACGACGACGACGACGACGACGACGATCACGACGACGACAGCTGCGACGACGGCGACGACGACGACGACGGCGACGACGACGACGACCACGACGACGACAACGACGGCTGCGGCGGCGACGACGCCGGCGACGACCACGACGATGACGACGACGACGGCGACGACGACGATGACGACGACGACGACGATGACGACGACGACGATGACGACGACGACGACGACGAGGACGACGAGGACGACGAGGACGACGAGGACGACGAGGACGACGAGGACGACGAGGACGACGACGACGACGACGACCTCTGAACCACCACAGCGCCACACCACATCCACAGGGGGGGGGAGGGGGCACCGCAGTGCAACACCACGCCACGCCCACCCCTGAACCACCACAACACCACACCACGTCCACAGGGGGGGGGGAACCGCAGCGCAGCACCACGCCACGCCCACAGGGGTGGGCGGGGGGGACCATCGCGCGGGGGGGGGGCGGGGGGCCCAATGGCATCAGCATTGGGGGGGGGGGGGCCAAACCCTGGACCATACATATATATATATATATATATATATATATACATGAAATCGTACTATCCCAGGGGGAACCGATAAGTCCGGGGGGGTAGAGTCTATTCTCTTTTTAGAAAGGAGAGTCAGTGTGGTGCGAGCTGTCCGGTGCAAGCTGTGGCCCAGTAGATACATGGCATAATCTGCTGGAGCGGCTTTCCCTCGTCAGAGTTGGGTGCTGGAACCAACGCCTTGCGCGGCTGGAACGACCGTCCCTCGCAATTAACAGTTGCGTGCTGGAGTCCATCCTCCTCGGCGGCGTGCTCTTGTGGAACGACGTCGCCTCGTCGGGCATGAGGTGCTGGAACCCGCGCCGTGGGCTGCTGGAACCACTGCCCCTCGCCAGACCTTGGCGCTGGAGCCCGCCCTCCTTGACGGCGCACATCTCCTGCTGGAACCACTCTCCGTCGTGGGCCTTGGGCGATGGAGCCGCGCGGCGCCGAGGATTTCAAAACGCAAGTGAAGGCCGGGGGCCCATGCACTGCGATTGCGCCCCGCCCTCGCGCGGCGGCAGTCCGCGCGCGCGAGCGCGCGCGTTCGTGCGCGCGCGCGAGTGCACGGGCGCGAGCGCGAGCTCGAGTCCGAGCGCGAGCCCGGGCCCGAACGCGAACTGGAGACCGAGCCTGAGCCCGAACCCCGTCCGGAGGGCGCGCGCGCGCGTTTGTGCGCGCTTCCGATATGCCGACGCGCGAACAATATTTGCACGACCAGCAATATACACTTGACTGGCTTGTGCGGTGAATATTTTGCAGGTGAAATTTTGACGAACTGTTGAAGGGTTCGTGGCTGGGGTGCGGGCCGCCGCTCTAGCTGCCTCTTCAGAGGACAGCTTGCCCGCCTTGTCGGCATACTCTGCCGACTGGGATACTGGAGCCCACGCCTTGGGCTGCTGGAGGTGCTGTCCCTAGCGCAAATTGGGCGCTGGAGCACATCCTTCTTGACGGCCTACTCTGCTGGAACGACTTTGCATCGCAAAACGTGAATGCTGGAACCCACGCTCCGGGTTCCTGGAACCACTGTCCCTCGTAATATTGGGCGCTGGGGCCCACCCTTCTCAACGGTCTAATCTGATGGAACCACTTCCCTCAATGTAAATGCGGGGCTGGGCCGCGCCCCGTTCGGGGCCCTAACACGCACGCGCATGCATGCACATATATACATATGTATATATATATATATATTCATACATACATACTTACATACATGTACATATGTATATATATGTATATATAAATGTTTGTGTATATATGTACACATGTATACACATAGGTATATATATATATATATAAGGTCGGGGGAGCGGGACCCAGGGGCGGGCGCCCTAGCATTGCAGCTGCGCATCGCCCCAAAACGGGGGCAGTCCGCGCGCGTGCTCGCAAATATTCGGGCGCGATCGCGAGCCCGAGCCCGAGCGCGAGCCCGACCCCGACCGAGCTTGAGACCAAGCCCGAGCCCGATCCCCATCTGGAAGGCGCGCGCGCGCGTTCCTGCGCGCTCTTCCGATATGCCGACATGCGCTCAATATGAACCTGCAAAATTCACCTGATCGAAATGTGTTGCCAAATCGTGAGTCCTCAACTCCACTGCTCGCGCAATCCCCCCACTCCCCCACCCGCTACTTCGCTTGCGAAGCCCGCGCCCCGGGGCGCTCGCGCGCGCCCCCCCCCCCCCTGGCGCGACCAAGAAGACAAGTACGAGGGCCCGGATTGTCAACGCAACGCAGCAGCACTCTAGAAGCAGCTGGGCTAAAATGCTCAGCACCTGCACTGGAATAGCCCGCGGCGCCGCGGCGCGGCTAGATCAACCGCTCGCAGCTGATTCAACCCCCCCGCATTGCACTTGAGGACCGGGCGCGCACATTCCCACCAGTACCATTGTACTCAGGTACTAGGCATACTGCAGTCACCAGAGGCCAGGGGCTCCAATGGCAAGGCGCGCGCGGAGGAAGGAGAGAAATCCGCGCGCCGCCAACGGCCCGCAGCTCAACAGGGCGCCGCGAAGAAGAGGCCTCCGCGGAAGGAAGAAAAGAGACCAGGCTGGGGGGTCGTGGGCCCAGGCGCGCGAAAGGGAGGTGCTGCCGCGGCGCCGACGACGGTCGCGGCGAGGAGGCGCGCGCGCGGAATTCCAAGAACCGCGGCAAACTTTCTCATGAAAAGCATATGTAATTTCATGCGTTGCCGAAGAATTCCATGTTGAAATCATTCGAATT